GAGGACTGTGGTCAGGTGAGTATGAGGCGTCAGTGGCTCGGTCTGCTCAGGAAGGATAATGGTCAGTCAGACAGGTAATCAGACAAGCTTGTTGTCTCGGCAGTTGGCTACAGCGAATAGCTCGTTCCGATAGTCCTTAGTGCAGACAACTTAATCATCAATGATGGAAACTCTCCCTTTACATCATGTCTTCACTAGTATGCTCCGAGTCTTCCCTCTTCTCCACTCAATCTTGGCCGTCCTTGCCAGCCTCTCACAGCCTTAACAGAGCCTTCGCCGCTTCCCTCCTCCAATTCTCAAATCTTCGTACTTACATTACCTTCCTAAAGCTCCAAGAGCAGAGCAAATATTGCCCGCTCCGCCTGCCCGCCACTTCCCTGGTAAGACCGCATGCCTGCCTAACTACCCATAGAAAGGGAACACCACATGAGGTCACAGCGGTGGGCATGGATCAATACACTGTACCGTACACACTGCATCCACGACGTGTAATGCACAATCATAATAATATTACAACATCTACATCTTACCTCCCCCAATCCACCATTTCCCATAGGTTCTACTTCCTCCCCCTCGTCCGCGCTGTAGTCCGCCTTGGTGTCACCACCTCCACCTCTTCCCCATCGTCATCGTTCCCAAGGTCGGAGAGGGCAGAGCTTTCATCCTCCTCATCCCCACCACCGTCTGACTCTCCGGTGCTGAAATACCTGCTCTTGGTCATTGGCTGATTTTTCCGTGCCGCAGAGCCTCTTGTCGTCGGAGTCTTGGTGTTAGACTTTGCGGGTCTCTTTGCTGTTGGTGTGGCTTTTGTGCTGCGAGGAGTACGCCGAGATGGTTGTGCTTTGGAGAGCTTGGTTTTGAAGTCGGAATGGTCGCTGTCTGATTCGTCTTTGATGCCGTTGGGAGTCGTGGCCTGCTTAGAGGGTCGTCCGCGCCGGGGAGTTGGCTTCTTATCCTGCTTTTTCGTTGAGGCTGGGAGGTTGGTGTTTACTGCCGGTGGAGGACTGCCGTGCTCGTTGTCATTGCCGTCAGTCGACATCCCGTCGTAGCTGAAACGCTTCAGATTGTCATGGGTGGCTTTGAGTGACAGCGGCTTATGTGCTTCGCCATCGGTGATGTCAGGTCTGACCTCTGCAACCGATGTATGCTCTTGGTCTTCGACCATGAATCCTCCACCATCAAGGTCAAGCTCAGTGGCCTTCTCTTCCACCTCGTCCTCGCCAAAGGCACCCTCGTCTTCGCCTTCCCGCAGAAATCCTCCTCCAAGAGCACTTTCATCCTCGACCATAGCAACGTTGCCATCAACATCCCTGACAGCCGCAGCTCTCCCCTCCTTCTCCTTTCTGACAAAAGGATTGATATCTTCTTCCCTCCCCGTATCAGCATACTCCTTCTTCATGCGCTCCATAATCCTCAGCCCACTGCAGAATTTCCGCCACAGCGTCAAGCACTGCTCCGTTCGCTTCTTGTCCTCTTTCCGCTGCCTTTCCGCTTCTCGTTCGCGCCAGGCCTCGACGACAGCCTGCTTGTTCTCCTTGGCGACGACGACACCAGTAATGACAGGAATCGCCATGCGTTTGCCAAATTCGAATCCCGTGCATGCTTCGGCATGGGAGATGCCGAGGTCCCTGCATATCCTCGCCGTGCCCTTGAGGCGGATGTGTATAGCTCCTTCGGGCACCATGCTAGGGACGTACACGTCGATGTTGCCAAAGGCGTTGCGAGGAATCTCCCGGTCCTCTCCAATAGGTGGGGGGATGATCCAGTCGGTCTGCGTGCGACTGAAAAGGCCTTGCTTTGCTTTCTCGCCAGTCTCACGCTCAACTTCTTCCATTTCCCTTTTGCGCATCATTGTTACCGCCCTCATGGGTACGAGCTTCATAGGCTGCTCTCCGATCTTGATCTCTCGACCTTCCTTGTGCCAAGACTCAGCTGTCTTGCAGGCTACCACATCTGCCCGCTTGAAGACAGGCTCATCTGTTACCTTGTCGCCTTTCCCTACCGCAAACGTTCTTACTGGCTTTGCGGTTGGCAGAATGGCTTCTTCTCGCCGCAGATGTCGCTCTAGCACAAACTCCGCACTTTGCTTGTACCACTGCAAAGACTCCGCTTCTGGTTTTCCCTTCTCGTTTTCGGGGCGGAAGGGCTGCAAGTCTGTGGTATCCTCCACGTCGTCGGCACTGGTACGCTTGTCATCGAGGCGAACAAATGCTGAGATGACGGTCTTGAACCAGTCGTACTCCTCATATTTGACGACCTTGCCTTTCTTGTTGTGGACTTTGACTTTCTCGATTGGCATTCTGTATCCTTTTGTCCGTCCTGGAAGTTGATGTTTTTTCAGATAACGCACTGTTACGTCCTTAGCCGTGCCATCTGCAGAATGAGCAATTGTGTAGCAGATCACTTGTTTCGCCTGATCCGCTTTCTTGCCCCTAGGCTCAAATGTCGCTAGTAGCTCCGGATTGGTTGCTACTGTTGAGAGCACCATCGGATCCACGGGAATGAAAGTATTGGACACCGGTGATAAGACCTCGGTCCAGTAATTGGGATATGCCATGTCTCGGTCGTACTTTTTCTTTGGCTTCTTCTTCTCGAAAGTTTCCGTCACATCAACGATGGAAGCGTCATCATCGAAGTCGGATGGCGCACTAGACAGGCTGCTCTCATCATCGCTATCCAGATTGATAACAGTCGGTAATGACTGGCGAGCCGTTGTTCGCTTGCCGTTGGTTTCATTCGCAGATGTTTTCTTTTGGCTTGCTTTCTTGCTCGTGGCAGGTCGATTCTTGCTCTCCGGGGTTGGTTTGTCGCTATCGACTGCTGACTTCTCGTCTGGAAGAGTCTCGATTGCGGTGCTCAGTTGCTTTGCGGACTTGGCTTCTTCCACTTTGCCCCAGCCGATTCCAGCAGGCTGAAGATTGGCGACCATCCTTGCCTCAAGGCCCAAAGCTCGCAGAAGAGCGGTGAAAAGTTGTGATCCTACGTCGCGGCTGCCTTCGCATGACTTCGCAAGCTTGCGTAGTGAGCGCTTGTCCTCCACTCGCTCTCCATGCTTTTCCGCGTCCAAGCGGTCCTTTTTCCACGAGTTGATCTCTTGGGTGAGTCGTTTTAGCGGCATGTATCCGAGCTTGCGCAGACCAGGTGCGGTCACCATGAACCTCTTTCTCCAATATGCTGTGAGCAACTTCAGGAGCCGTAATATAGGATCCCCGCCACTCTTGTTGATCGCTCCGATATCCACTTTGTCCGCGTCCCTCTCCCAATCTCTTGCGCCTCTCTTGTCAGCTCCTCTCCCACCCTTTTTTGAAGCTTGTTTGTTCTTGAGTCTCTTCGATCTGCTGAGTGGTGTCACTGATAGTATTCCCATGTCAGCCCGGAACTTGTCGATCTCAATTCTTATGCCCTCCGGTAGCCCATCCAAGAGAACCTTGTGCAGCTCGGGATCGTTCAACCACGAGTTTCGTATAGCGTGATGCCAGACCAGCGCTTGCACATGGACGCAATGCGTACCATTTCGAACTTGGCGCTCTCTTTTCGAGGGACCTTTGCGCAAAGTGCTTGCAGCGCGATCCGTTGCCGTGGCTTCCGGAACTCCATCCCCAGAGATCGCAATCGATATGTCGCCAATGTCCGGGTCTGAAGGTTGTCCGCTCTCTCCTATGGCATCCTCCCAGTCCATATCTTCGTCGTCTTCGCCTTCCTCGTGCGCGCTTGTATTCGCCGCCAGCGCGCTTGCGCCAGCTGCATGGGTATGTATTCCAGGTACATCTTCAAACTCGTCGTTCCCGCTGTCGTCGGTGTCCTCGCTGGAGGAGGTTGACTCCTCGTCATCGAGTTGCTTGAGGTATGCTTGCGTGTCTGCTGCGGAGGCAGCAGACGGCTTGTGAGAGTCGACGGCGTCAAAGACGGAAGCTTTTGCTCGAGTAGACTGCTTTAGTCGTTTCGGAGTAGGTGATTCAGCGGGCGATGACTGTCGCTTGCGCGACACGTAAGGGGGCATCAGAAGAGCATATATGAAGAATAAGGCCGTCTATTCAATAAGAGCATATGTACATGGCTAAGTGCGTGCAGCGCAAGTGAATGTTTCTGGCTAAGACGATCTTTGTCACGACGTCATCCCAGATCTCGGGTAGCTTGCCCCGGAGATTGCGGACATCAGCCCTGTCGATCTGGGGGGGTTGGTCTCACGAACAGGCTGTTTAAAGAACTCAGTCAGACATGATCAAATCGATGGTGCAAGGCCGACCAAACGCATTGCAATTATCCATATATTATGAGATATAATATAAGAATCATTCTATGTACGGCTGTAATGCCAAGTGGCTCATTATTTGGTATCAGACTTGAACATCTGCAATCGCGGCTGCAATTGTGGCAGGCTTCTTTGTGAACTGTGCTATGACTGATCGAACTGTCTGATCGTGAAGGCCGGCTGTCTTCGTAGAGAGACATGGCATAAGCTTACCTCAGGTCGAGTGTCAGCTCCTTGATCTTCATAATGTATCATCCATAGTCTGCAAAAATTGATCTGACTTCACAAAATGAACTTGTGTACACTTTGTGCTGTAGACTGGTGTAAAAGCACCCAATCCAGCTGGAGTCGCAAAACTATCGTTTCAAAAAGCCGTCAGACTTTTCTCGATGTCACTTGTCAGCATAGTGACAATTTTTACATTCAATAGCTAGCCGGACAAGTCCGGCTAAGCAACTTCAATGTAAAAGAAGTTGCACTTGTTGGCTCCATCTCGGCTTTGTGAAAGCTTCGCGTAGGTTGAGGTTTTTTTTGGAGGAACAACAATCAATCATGCCAATATTATTAATTGAATGCTTTCAAAGATACTCTGAGCACAATTACGCTCAAGCGGAGCTGAGGAAGGCGAGTTTTGTAAGATTTTCATTCGTTGGCTGTATCTCGTCGAATCCAAATTCCACTCGACTATGGCTTGCATATATAAGCATTTTAAGCCCGTCTCAATCCTTAAATGCCCCAATAACTAGCCGTCATCGTGGCGCAATGGTAGCGCGCCAGACTTCTAGTATTTTAAGATACATGTAATCTGGAGGCTGCGGGTTCGAGCCCCGCCGTTGATACTTCGAAATCTACCAACTTTTTCGCCAATCTTTGTTCGAATGCCCATTTTTGGCTAGCTAGATACCTTTTTACATAGCGAATCACAGAGAGATCGTGGAAAGAAGTCTGGCGCGCTTCAATCGCGCCACGATGACGGCTAGTTATTGGGGCATTTAAGGATTGAGACGGGCTTAAAATGCTTTGGCGGCGGCCTCCGGCCGCCTCCTCCGGCGCAGGGCCCCCAGGTCTCGTGTTTGTTGGAAGATCACCGGCGTTTGCACTTGTCTACAGGCTTGCAATGGGATGTTCAAGTGCTCATAAGGGTCTGCCAATAGCATAATACGTTTGTATCTCATTAAGTGAAGTCAGTAACAGCATAGTGTGCCTTTTGTCACTCTTATTCGCCATCGAAGCTTCCAACTGGGAATAATTTCAGGAATTCTCGATGTTGTAATTGTGAACTATATACGTGCCACTGAGATAGTTCAGCATCTCAATGTCTGCTGGAGGTGAAAGGTGATCTTGTCATATATGGTATTCCTGAGAGCGTCGTTCAGCCGGCGAAGTCATGGCTCAAAATCTTCAACTGATCAGACAAATCTTGCGCCTTTATTCACGACGCCATATTCAGAATAAGACCTGGGTAATGCCTAGATATTTTAGCCTCCGGTACTTGTCTTCAGCCCGGCAATCGTTCTGACAACTATAATTGTTGCTTATGACCTCCATCCTTGGACGTCAAGGGCGTATCTTAAGACGACGAATTGCTGGCATTCACCAACAGGCTCCAACACGGCTCTTCACAATGACACAGACCAAGCACGACAGCCATCATGATACTCATGCGCTACCTCCAATGTTCATACAAGAAGCTTACTGGCATTACAACAAAGTCAAGCCTGCAGATTTGGAAAATGATGCCAAAGTGATAGACTTTGCGAAAGGCTTGTCTGAAGATCAGGCTCGGGTCCTCCGGCCTGTAGGCAGCATCAAGGCAGCTACGATCGTTGCAGCATGCTCAGCATTTCGCAGAGCCGCACTGGTCGAAGACTCGAAGAGCCCGTTCAAGGACCTGATAAAGGATGCTCAGATCTATGAGCACCAGGACTTCCCAGGTCTACAAATCATCCCGGGCCTTCTACCCCCAGAGACCCAAATTTTATGGGTTTCTCGGATCTTGCACGAATATCTTGCAGATCCCTTGCACAAAATCAATCTGGAAGCCGACTACGACATTGAATACCCTCTGCCACCTCCCGTGCAGACTGAGGAGAAGGATTCCTCATCAGCCACCGGTTTCGCTCGCACATTCTTCACCCACGAAGCCCAATCAAGATTCTGCACCCCGAAGACGGACGCAAAGCCTCTGAACGCCGTCCAATTTCTTTCCAGGAAACTCCGATGGTTAACACTGGGCACACAATACCACTGGCCCACTCGATCCTACCCACGCAACCCGTCCACTATTTTCCCACCAGATCTTTCAGCATTAGTGACAGGTCTGTTCCCACACATCACACCGGAGTCGGGAGTATGCCTCCTTTACGGACCAAAAGATTTCATGCCCGTGCATCGGGACGTAAGCGAGCAGTGTCAGCGAGCGTTGGCTAGCTTTAGCGTCGGCTGTGACGGCATATTTCTGGTAGCGAGAGGAGTGGAGGAGGCGGAGACAGATGCTGAAAAGGCAACACGGGTTGTTGCTATTAGGGTGCATAGCGGAGATTGTATTCATCTGGATGGCGAAACAAGATGGGCATGGCATGCTATGCCGCGGACGGTGGCTGGGACGTGCCCGAAGTACCTGGCAGATTGGCCGGCTGGGAGCCCAGGCTGGGGTAAGAAGGAGACGAAGGCTTTTGAAAAATGGAAAGGGTGGATGGGAAGCAAGCGACTGAATGTCAGCTGCCGGCAGGTCTGGGATTGAAATTTCAGCATACCGTGTACGTTGCAATGACCTGGAGTCGTCCAATGATTCAATAACCTGGAAGGAGCCTGCCACTGTCATTGGCACCACTACGATTGTAAATACTGGACGGTACACTGGTCGATAGACCTGATAGCGTAATGCATAACAGTTCAGATGGCGGATAGGACGGCAGAGTGCACGACTGGTCCCACAACAGGCGGCGGTACCTGGAAGAAGGAGCGTAACGTAGCGCATAGGCAGGCGATAGACACAGCCAACATGGCGACCTACTGCCTGGCCGATAGCAGGACCTGTAGCAGAGCACGCTCTCGGACGTACTTCCCGACCATTGGCATAACGATCAGCATAGTCACCAGCATGGCCATTAGTATGACTATTAGCACGACTGTCAGCACCACCATCAGGGCAACTATAAGCCGAAGCAACATTGTCGCTATCAGCTTGGACAACAGCAGGCCGACTTGCACGACTAACAGCACGACCAGCAGCACGACTACTAGCTGGCCTATCAGCATGCCTACGAGCACACATGTGAGTATGGTTAATGATCTAATTGTTAGCGTGGCTATTAGCCCACGTATGAGCACGACTACCAGCTTGGCTATGTGCCTGCCTGTTAGCATGAGTACCAGCGCGGCTACCAGTCCAGCTACCAGCACGACTACTTGCATGATCACGAGCATGACTATCAACACAGCTACAAGTATGAATAACAGCCCCACTACCTGCACGGCTGCCAGCACAGCTATCAGCATGGCTATCGTTCTGGCTGTTGGAATGGCCATCGGCGAGGCCATGATCACGATTGTCAACGTCGCTGCTGGTATCACATGTGGCGCAGCAGCCATCCGATCATGCAGCAGGACATACAGCCGGAGTTGGAGTTAGGCATGCAGCGGAGCACTTAACCGGACATTAATCGGAGCATAAATCGGGACACACTGCGGACCACACAATGTGTCAGACAGTGGACAATAAAGCGGGCATATAACGGAGCATATAAAGGGAGATACAGCCGATTGATAAAGCAAATCATACAGCAGAGCAGATAGCACGGTAAATATCATGGTATACCAGAGAATTGGCATGAAGGCAGTGCCAAACCGAAACGCCACTTCCATCAGATCTTCATCACTTTATTCGGCACGCTCATCATCGTGCAAAGAGCGCTTCGCATGGCTATGCATAGTGCTTCAGAAGATGAATCCCAAAAAGGTAGTAATGTACTTTCTCTACAAGAAGTCTGATCCAGGCAAGTTTTCATTCATTGGACAAAAAGGATGCTGGTCTGCATAGCTGGCTGAAGACCTGTAGGAACAGCAAGTCAAGCATCTGACGATAAGCAGTGATGTAGGCGGAGTCGAAATCAAGAGATAAATTTACGTTGTATTTGCAACATACCTCGACAAACTCCTTGATCAAGCAAACCAATACTTTTGAGCGTACCACCGAAGCCAGGAGCAGCTCGGTAAGATGTGATCCTGGAGCTCAAGCGAGAATCAGGGAGATCATGTACGAACAGGCGACATGCTGGACTGTAATCGAAAGTGCGTCAGATCGTGCAAGTTAGTAGCGGTGGCATGGCAGTGGTCGGAGATAGCGAGGTCATCCCGGGGATAATCACGTAAAAATATCCGCGGCTTTCTGCGGCTTTTCTGCATTCGGGCGTCCCGCATCTTGACCCCGCCATGGCCTTGTCAACTTTGGAATTGTGGATTGTTTTCAACTTGATCAACTATATAGTCACAAACAAGCAATTATGGCAACTCTCAGACTTAGAGATCCGTCCATTCCCGCGCCCCCAGAGGGCAAGTACCCGGCCAAGACTCACGCCAGAAAGGTTGCCGAGTGGATATCAGCACACTCGGCTGAGCAGAATGGCACCAATGGCGCATCCAATGGCACTTCCAATGGAGCTGGAAAGCCACACGGCGTAATTTACCTCGAGGGTCAGAAGACAAGGATGATTGAGGTTGGTCTCCACATCCACGATACCCATATCCACAATCTCACCATTCGCAGGACGACGATCAAGCAGAAGGGTTTCGCCAGAGACGTTATTTCTACTATCTCAGTGGATGCAATGTCCCGGATTCGTCGCTGGTCTACGACATTGACCGCGACCACTTGACACTGTTCATCCCGCCCATTGATTCCGAGGAAGTGATTTGGTCTGGTCTTCCTGAAGTGCCCAAGGAGGCCATGCAGAAGTGAGTTGCTCTGACGCCACCAAGCATACCATACATTCTAACGACTAGCAGATACGACATCGACGCCTGCTTGACCACCGACGAGCTCAACTCCTATCTCTCGTCCTCGGAAATCTCCAAGTCCACCATCTACACCATCCCCGAGCAAGTCTCCCCATCCACCTCGTTCACCGCCTTCCACTCCACCAACTCCACCATCCTCAAGCGTGCGATTGACTACTCCCGCGTGACAAAGACTCCTTTTGAAATCGCCCTCATTCGCCACGCAAACGCTATTTCCTCCGCTGCGCACCAGAATGTCATGCGCGCCGTCGCCCAGATAAAAAACGAAGAAGAAATCATGGGCGCATTCGTAGGCACTTGCATTTCCAACGGTGGCCACAAGCAAGCCTACAGCTGTATCTGCGCGGCCGGCACTTCTGCCGCGACCCTGCATTACGTCCACAACGACCTGACCGTCAGCAAGAAGCTCAACCTCCTGATCGACGCTGGATGCGAGTACAACTGCTACTGCGCTGATGTGACGCGGTCGTACCCGCTGAATGGGACTTTTACCAAGGAGTCGCGGGAGATCTACGACCTCGTGGACAGGATGCAGGACGCATGCATGGAGATGCTGCGCGCGGGAGTAAAGTGGGAGGACGTCCACACCAAAGCGCACACGACGGCTATCGACGGGCTCCTGAAGTTGGGCATCCTCAAGGGCGACCCGAACAGCGAAGAGGATAAGAAGCGTTTGTTGGATAGCCGGGTGAGTACGGTGTTCTTGCCGCACGGCTTGGGCCACTATCTGGGCATGGACACGCATGACACCGGTGGAGATGCGGACTACTCCGATCCCGACCCTATGTTCCGCTACTTGCGCATCAGGGGCAAAGTGCCT